GACTTCAAGGCTCACTGCCTGGCGGAGGAGCTTTCCGAGGCCCGGGGGCGGCTGAAGGGCGCAGGCCTTGCTCATGTTTTTCCGACTCGGTTGGGGCCGTCGTTTGTTTAGCACCACAGTGACTCAAAACGCGCTTTGGGCTTGCAGGCCCATATGGTTTGACAAAGTTGGCTACACTATAGCTTTAGTGATATGCTTGAACATGTGATGGAGGACCGAGGAATGGGTTGGTTTAGCTTAGACCTCTGCGTGTGGGGTGATGCATTCCTGGCACGCAACTTTGCAGCGTATGCTGGCATTGAACAAGGAGGCCGTAAGATTTGGCTATGATTATCTCCACATTGATCTCGCCGTTGCTGATGGTTATGTGCCAGCGACATGTTGCAGGTATACTGTGTATTACAACTTACAGAAGTGAATTGTTGTCTGTTGCTTGCAGTGCTCCTCAGTGATTTGTGATTGCCCAGCTAGCACTACATTTTCCAGATTGTATCTCTCACCGTGCGAGTAGTGCCATGGTTTGTGGGATTTGGCAGCCTGCCAAAGCGGCATCTTGATTTTGAACCGAGCGCAGCCATAAGGTACAACTCGACTGTTGCAAAAAATCAATGTGATAGTGGCTTTCAAGGTGTGAGGACTAGCACCTTCCAAGAAACCAAGGCACGCCCCTTTGGCACTTGAGCCGCTTGATCAAAACCCGGGTAGATGAAGGTTAGTAAGGGACGATCCCAACCATAAGTAGCGGATATCCGCCTTCTCAATTCCTTACATGGCTTCTGGGATTACGACCATTTTGGTTCCGGTCGGTTTTGAGGGCGACCCTGATGATTTCCCTGGGGCAAAGCTCACTGGCGCAGGTCTTGCTGGAGGACGCGACGTCTGCGCAAGCCCAGGCCCGGGAGGGGGCAAGTCAGACGTGACATCTTACATTTTTGCTTCTTGTGGTTTAGTGGAGCATCCCCACTTAGGTGTTAAAAAATAGATTTTGCTTCCCTTCCAACGCCAACCAGGTAAAGAATCCATGGGTTTTCACCAGCAAGTTGAAGGTGGGGATGTGGAAACCAGGTGTCAGGCATAGAAGTTTCATGGACGGAGCGGTCTAAGACCGTGTCAGCTTCCATTGGATAAGCTGACGGACTGGGAAGGAGCCCATAGTCTGGCCACCGGAATGGCAAAGATTTCATGCGCCATGAGCAAGCCAGCATTGCAGTCAAATTTCTTTGAGCCAAGTTGCCAGTGCCCATGTCAAAGACATGCCAAGTATCACGCCGACATTCTCTTCGGGCAAAATCCGCCGACTGTTCCGATGCATTGGGCATCCCACATGAGATCCCCCAAACATGACAGAGCCAAATGGGCGTTGATTAAGAGGTCCGTGATACATGGGAGAACCTCAAAAAAGATGCGACATTTCAACGGGAAGTTACCCATGGTCAAAACTGGGGGCCCTTCAAATTGATCAACCGCCGCAAGGGATCCACCTCGCAGGCCACAGAGCAGCTGTCTGATGAGAGCGATTTCATGATCGAGTACACTTTCGCAGAGGCGCCTTCCGGTCCCCAGCTTTCGTCAGACAAGGCGTGCACACGTTTCACTTCCAACCACTGCAATCCAAGAGAAAACCCCTCAAGGAAGATGATCTTCTGAAGGATCCCAGTCAGATTCCATGTGGAATCCATGTGGAAAGGTACATTGGTGTTTGTTGTCAAGCGCCATGGCTGCTTTGCAGCGTGTAACTTCCTGCATGCATTTTATGACCAAACTGAGTCCCTGACAGGTCGACGTGCCGGTTACGAAGGAGAACCAGGCACGGATCTGTGCATGTGTGTGTGTGTGTGTGCCTGGTGCCTGAGTGCCTGCGTGCTTGCATGCGTGCGTGCTTGCGTGCGTGTGTGTGTGTGTGTGTGTGTGTGTGTGTGTGTTGTGAAGATGACGTTCCCTTCAAGGCGAGGTAGGTCGCACATGTCGCACCCACGCCGCAGGACCCCAACGATTTGGACGAGGATGAGGAAGTCATGGAAGAGGGCACAGCGGTGAGCAGAGTAGGCGAGTTGCTGTTGTGTGGCTGGTTGTGACATGAAAGTAGAACGTAGAATTGAAGGGTCCACCGGACCAACTTGATCTATGGTGGGTTGTCAAAATGGTGGCCGCTTGAAAATGGCAACCCGATTTGTTGACATGATGGCCCAATGAGAACCCAGAGCATTTCTTTCTGATCTGACTAATTTGTGTCGAGCCGGTCGAGCCATTACATTTTGCACGGCCTGTCTTTGTCCGTCCACAGTGGTGCTTTTTCTGAGGGTACCCGTTTTTGGTGGTTGTTAAAGGGAGACCAGAAGGACACCCACAATTTTGGGGCTCTCAAAAATAATAAGTATCAGTGTCACGTCAAATGGGTATCTGCCAGGCGTGCCGCGGCGGTACTTCTGGATTGTGGCCGCCTTCCTGGTGTTGTCCACCACGGCGCGCAGGGGAAACGCCATCCTTGGGTGATGGGGCTAGATTTGGTACATAATACGATGTTGCGAAGACGTAGCTATGCATGTACTGTAGTGTGTAGTTTGTAGATATATATATATATTGTATATGTATATATACACTAGCCTATAGATACGTATGTACAATAATATATATATATATATATATAAAAATTCGAGATAATGACAGGCATTAAAATAGTTAATACATATAATACTATATATATATGTATGCTACCCCTCCCATGGACCCTGGTTTTACTGCCTTTGGGTTGGAGCCCGGAGTCCTCCGAAATGTCCCAATATGATGCCCTTTGCAAGTAGGATTTTACTTCAACTAGAATTGGAATTTTGAATATAATTTATTTAGGATATAGTTTTCAAACGTGTGTTTATGTTCCACTACAGCTTAATAAGCAAATCCTTTCCAAATAAGAGCTACGTGAAATTGTAAATATAGTTTCGGGTAAACTCTAGTCTAACTAATCTTTGACACCAGAAGTTAGATAGGAGTTTATTCCCAAATATAATCTAAGTCTTAGATAGAATCTAATACGAACACAATTCAATTAGCTTTTGATAACAACAATTGAAGAGAGACTACTTCTCAAATATAATTCATATTCAATATGGCTAAAAAAATGAGGGACTTTTACAAGGAAATTCAACATACGATTTGCGTTATTTACACTCTAGCCCTTTTGTAGCAGAAGAAAGGTCCAAACTAAACTAGTTTGACCGTGTTCCAAAAGGAGTCTTCAAGGGAAGAGAGGTTCAAATTCTATAACTATCTCGAAAAAGGGATTCTAGCTAATTCAGTTGGATTTAAAGTTCTATTTGCACAGGAAAGCAAATTCATTCTATCTCTAAAGTTGGAGGGAGTAGATGAGCAAATGTGGACAGGTTCAAGAGGGGGGAGGGTGACGGTGTGTGAACATGCATACATATGTGTATATATAGATATATACACATACATACACACGTATATAGTACCCCTGATGATCCTGCCCCTCTTCATAAAATACCGTGAAATACAGTGTTTTTTGAGCATATTACACCTACCTTTGTTTACCTCCTGGAAAAGGGTCAACATGAGCATAGCTAGCATGAAGCAAACCGCTGACCAAAAGCACTTGAAAGTTTGTCTAACTAGTAACTTGGAAGTGTTTCCACTGTATCGCTAAGCACTTGAAAGTATTTCGCCACTAGATGGAAACATTCAAGATTGAAGATTACACAGGATTTTTCTTTTTTAGATTGGTCAATCCTGGCCAAATCCAAACAACATTCAAGTTCTTAAAACACTTGAAAGTGCTTTACCACTGGATTGAGGATTCAATAATTTCTCAGATTCTTGAATCTTGAATCTTCCAGATTGTGTTTTGTGAAAACAAATAAATATTTTCTCAGATTCTTGAATCCAGGATTTTGTTTTGAAAAACCTATGCCGAGTTGTTCTAATACTCTTGGATGCATTCAAACTCTTTCAGATTGCAGATCCTGATGTCATTGCTTTTGTCACATATGTACGCATGCATGCATATCTTATATACATGTGGCACACCCCTGATGTTGATACAACAACAAGGCACAACACACTGGAAAAAAACAGGTCAAACGCACCAAACTAGGGTCCATGGGAGAGTACCATATGTATATATATGTAGACACACTTGCATGCATACATCTACATTGGAAACCGGAATCAAGATGATGATGGCATGTAAATGCATGGTGGTTAACACAACTGGTGCAAGTTGTTTGGACTGTTTCCTGGGCATGTTCCGAGAATCAAGTTCATTGACTCCGTTTTGCCAGCAGCTTGTGTTGCAGTCATCTTGAGTCTGACTCCCATGTCGCAGATGGATGGCCAGATCGCTCGTGCTCCTTACAGCTGTTGTAGTGGAAGCCCGGCATAGCAAGTGTACAACACACTTCCAGTTTTGTTGCCAGACAAACGAACACAACTCACCTTCCGTATTGGAGTTTCCAGGGACACTTTTTGTGCACTCAAAGATCACTTCCGACGCTTTGAAGGCTCTGGTGTGGCTACTGCACGCGAACCTGTCCTCCGAAATCCAGCCGCATGCTCGGTGCTGCCGTTGCTCGGTGCTGCCGTTGCCCCATTTTCACTCTTATCTTTTGGGGAAGCGTCTTCCGGTTGGTTTCAAGGGCAAACCAAAAGGAAGACCATCATTTTGGGCGTCGACGTTTCAGACAAGTTGCAAAAGTGGTCGCCATATGTGCTCCTTTTCGTTGGGCACTGGCCAGCTTCATGCGGGGAACACAGCGCCCGCTTTGCTTTTTGAAACACTGAAGACAAGGACTCACTTCCTGAGTTCCAGGGCTTGAGGTCACTTCTTGGGATGGGGCCATGTGAATTTGTGGTAAGAGCAAGCTTGGGATTTGTTTGGCAAGCTTGGAATGAGGGTTCCAGTTTGGCTTTGCATCCCATGTGCATTTTGTTCTCTCGCTCCCTGAGGCTTCCAGACGAGTTCCGGAAGCATACGGACATGGAGGAGGAGCTGTCGGTCCCCTTGTGCGTATCCCTCACCAAACACCCGGTTGCCATCCACGTGCCATGTTGATTGGTTTTTGAAAGCTTGCAACCATGAGCCTAGAGCAGTTTGCATGGGAAGCCTACGGCCTAGGGCCACCCTTCAAATTGGGGCACAAGGCAGAGAGCTGCAAATTGGGAGTTAGCGGGGTGCATCAGGCTAGGTTTTCGAGGGTGCGAATGGACTTTGCGAGGTGTCAGGATGGACATCCTCCTCTTTCCGTTAATCTTTGGAATTCACCGAAGGAAGATGACAAAGGGGGGCAAGTCGCACTTTGTGATGTACAGTGTAAGCGTCTTTCAGCTGCTCGACGCAACAAATCCCCAGCTCTGCGAGATAGACGCGCGATGAAGCTTTCAGAAATTCAGGTTTCCACGGCTTCAAGGCGTGAAAAAGCTCAGGTTTCCACGGCTCTCAGGTCGCTTCTCAGATTGTAGGTTTTTTTTTTTTTCCTCCGGCCTCGGGGATTTGTGGTTGCTTGGCTTTGGCTGACTGCAAGGCAGGGCAAAGGGTGACATCTGGACTCTAGACCCGGGCGCATAGGCTTTGGCCTCGCCAGGAGGTGATGTTCACCGCCCAGCTGACCAGTTTGTGCGAGAACTGGAAGGGGCGACTTCTGACTTGTCATAATCCTTGGCAGCACTGGGCCCTTCACTGTTTGGTGGAATTTGCAAGGGATGATCCATAGCTTTACAAGATGTGTGTGTCTTACAACGAAACCAAGTGGTCCAAGCTGAGTGTTTGTGCTCGTTTGACAGGGTGGTCCTGGCCTTTTTGCACCCATCCGGTTTCTGAGAGAAAGCTGGTGAGTCGTAGAAGAGTGGTTGAGCGATGTCTTGTGCCGAAGCCCTTCCTTCAAAAGGAGCGCATCCGGAGCATGCATGTTGTTGCCCATGCCTTTGAGCTGTCACAGTATGGCTCGGTTGGTATGTTTTGTGTTTGGTCGAGACGGCATGCTCCGGATGCCGCTGGGTTTCACCTGCACCACCTCGCTAGCGAGTCAACGCGTGCTGTATGTCGTTAGGTTGTCAATGTGATTATCCTGCCCCTTGCCGGTGGAAATAAATGCGTTGGATAGGTGAGACTGTGCCAACCATCTTCCATCCTTGACCAATTCACGTGAGCAAGCACCCTTCTAGATACCCTTTTATCCAGTCCCGGCTGAAGGGCAGTGACAGACCAGGCGGTTTACCTGCCTCCGTCGCATCGCCGTTCGATTCTTTGAAAAGGGCCGCTCAGAGTTCGCTGCAGCTGATGGCATCGGGGCCACACTGAGAGCAGCGGACGAGTCGACGAGTGCACGCTTGCATCAACGACCTCTGGTCTGGGTCCGGAATCGGTTGACCAAGTTATGTTTTTGTTTGCGTGCACACGATTCCATCACGTCCGGCGCAAGTTTGCGCAGCACTCGCCGCACATTCTTGCAAGATGGGCGAAACAACATGCATATGACACGCAGATAGCTCGCGTAAACATGCTGTCAGTGCGACGCTTGCCGCGTGTTTCAAAATCCGGTTCGTATTCAGCAAGGCATCCTCACGCACTCCCAGGTCCACCGCCAAGATGCCAGCTACATGTTGCCTTGACGTCGCAAACTCTCTTCAGCCTGAAACAGGATGTACTTATTGAGTTACACCCATGTCGCTGCGCTATTCTCCACAGGCCACTGCACACGAATCATCCCTTAGCTCTGGAATGGTGAAGCGGGCAGGGCTGCCGCTGTGTGCCCCAGAGCTGCCCTACCTCTTTGAGCGCATAAGAAGCAGGCAGCAACGCAACATTGGCTTCGCAGGGCGTAGTTCAGAAACACATGGATGTGTTTGGAGCAGAAGGACGGCATGAGTCCTATATGTCAATCACAGTCTCCTTTCATGTTGTCGTTTCTTCTGTCACGCTTTTTACGCTTGCTACGCGCTCGCTCGGCGCAGTCGCCGCCGCCCACGCAGCCGAAGGGCCGTCGGGCTGGGAGTAAAGGCCGTTGCTCGCTGAGGCGCCTCAGCGTATGGCTTGGCTTGCTCTCGGCAGCCACATTTGGCTGATGCTTGCAACAACCTTGAGACTGTTTCCAAAACAAACCGCACGCTTTGACGTTGGCCTGCACGCCGGTGGGTATCCCATGCAGTGTTGTCAGCAGTGATGACTTGCTATCCCCCAACTGCTTCTACTTGCATATGCCTCAAGCTTGTTCGCCCAGTTGTCCTTAGGGCGGCCAAGTTGGCGCAAGCCGACAGGCTTCCAGACGGTGTCCGCTGAACCCAAACTAGTTCGAATAAGGACAACGATGCTGGGCATGCGAGCCTGTTGTGACTGATGAATCAGATACCGCTGCATACCTCGGTGAGCGAGACACCGCATTGCTGGCAGCTCGGGTTGCTGCAGCTCGGGCAGCCCCAGCCACCATTTATTCAGTGCTTGGCGATGCTTACCACCAGCCGCTTGCAGCGCTGCAGCCGCGAGGCTTCAGGGGAAGATGAGGCTGCCAGCGAAGGCAAGCAAAGCTACAGCGCACGAAACCGTCACGCTGCGGACCCCTCCTATGCGTGGGACACTTCAGGGCTTTGCGTGGACCGCTTCTCTACGTGGCCCCCTCTCTACGTGACAGTTCCTGTATGTGGGTGGACTCGTATATGGGTGTGTGCATTTTTAAGGTGCGCAAGGTTTAGTAAAGGATGCGACGTGTGCGAGCCACACCCCCGAACCATACCACGAATCACACCTCCGAATCATGCCCCGAACCATACCCGCCCCAACAACGCCACCACTACTATTATTATTACCATTACTACTTCTACTACATCTACTACTTCTACGACTTCTACTACTTCTACTATTTCTGCTATTGCTACTACCACTACCACTACTACTGCTACTCCTACTACCACTCCCACTACCACTACCACTACTACTACCAATTACTACTGCTATTATTATTACTACTATTGTTACTACTACTACTACTACAACTACTACGACTACTACTACTACTACCCCTACTGCTACTATTACTATGAACCACACGTCGAACCATACCTTTTGTTTGTGCACATGATCCCCGCGACCAAGCGCGCGAAATTCGCTAAGGACTGATCGTTAGCGCGTCTAATGTTGCAACAGAAGCTTCAGTTCTTGCAAACCATACCCCGAACCATACCTCCGAATCATACCCGCGAACCACACCCCCCATCCAAGCTTCCCAGTTTGAGCACCTTATTTTGGTACAGACCCATCTGCAGGCATCCATGTGTGGGATATATGTAGAGCTCTCCTGCGCGGGCGTGTTTTACACGTGCTATTTTTTCACGCGGGCCGTTTCTTCAGGTGGCAGGGGAGTCACGTTCAAAAAGCTCTAAGCAGGAAGGCGCGCAGAGGAAGGGTAGGAACGCGCCACGTTTGGGGGGCGTCAGCGTATAAGGCGGCGGGTTGGACCTCGCCAGCCCCGAAGACCAGCGCGGAAAGGTTGCCGCCGCGTGCTGTCGCGGCGCAGGGCGCGCTCGCGGCCAGCCTCAGCTCGCTTCCTCCCGACGTCCGTTTTCAGGATCCCCAGGACTGCTTTGACTGCTCCTGGGGGGGTGGGGGCGGGGGCCCACAGTAAACAAGGTCCAACATGAAGCCCGAAGGCGGCCCATTACGTATGAAATTGGGCAATTCTTCCCTATCGAGCCAGCGCCTTTGCAGACCAAGCTTGAATAATTGAATGTGGCATCGTGCACGCCCAGAATCTCATGCCAAGGTTGGTCCCTCTGAGTGGGCGGCGGAGGCCCCTCGTTGCATTTCACCTCGTAGCTGCTGTGATGTCGCGGAAAAGCGCGCGCGGTGTAGCATCATATTCAGGCAGCATCGCGTGCCTGCTTTGCCAATGGGTGGATTTTATGCAACAAACCAATCTCCCTGCGATATCTTGAGGCCATGATCACCCAAACCGTTTTGTTTGCAGCTGCGTCGTTTGCTGAGGATGCAGCGGGCGCAAACTCAACCGGGCAGGCGGCTCGGCGCAGGCCCGCTCTCACACCTGGCGTCGGCGAGCAGGTCGCTCACCGGCGGCTTGGCGCCATCAACGCACGTCTCCCCGAACAGCGGGAACTGCAGCAGGCTGGCGGCGAGCGCATGCTGCGCGGCGACTGCGATGAGGGCAGTCCACCGCCGCACTTACGCCTGCGCAGCCGCTCCGCGCAGCAGTTCGGGGACACGGCGCGACTTTGCGCGCGCGAGCAGGCGCACGAAAGCCACCCCGTCCGGGAGCCACCGGCCACCGACCTCGAGGCCGAGGACAAGCAGGCGGCAGCGCCCGCTCCGGAGGAGCTCAGGGTAAGTGTGGTGGCGCTTGCGGCGTCGAATCTGGCGTGTCCTTCCCGTTTCTGCCGTCAAGCAGCCCAGCCATTTGTGACTGGCATTCCTCGGCTGTATTTGAATCAGAGTACCCGTGCGACAAAATGCGTCGGTGGCTGCGCTTCTGTACTTAGGGCGATACTTTTGGAAGCGCACGGTCGCTAGGGCAAATTCCCGACAGGAAACTTGCTAGGCCTAGTTTTTCAAAGTTTCCGTATCTCCTCTTGCACTGGCTCCCTGAGCATGCTGGCGCTTTGTCTCAGCTGCCTTGGCTGTCAGCAGCTTCGGCTTGCCTGCTGCCATGGGGTCGGTCTAGCCTTTCTGACTCCAGGCACTTGTTGCGACTTGTTTGTCGTTTTCTTCGGCCCCTCATCCTTAGCTGGCTGCCACAACGTCCAAGCCGCAGCCTCACTGCCCCTGTGGCTCGCCGTTCTGCCTCCGCCAAGGCTGTCTGCTTTCTTGCCCCACAGGCAGTTTGGCCCGTAGCTGGCCGCAACTGGCTTGGGAGAATCCGGGCCGCTTTTAGATGCTCAAAAAAAAGCAAATGGGGTTCCCAGCGCGACCAGCGCGGGGAGGTTTCCACACCCCGCGAGGGGGCCAAGCAACTGGCGGCCCCGTGGACGTGTCGTCGTCCGTTCTTGAGCGCCCCGTTGATTACTCGCCATTGCGCGACCTCGGTGAGGGCTCCCCATGTGCACGGGGCGGCCGGCCGTGGCTGCGTGCGCTGCCGCCGCCCTGCAGGACGCCGGCTTTGTGGTGCCGGACTGGCTCGCCCTCGCAGATGGGTCGGCGCTCGAAGAGCACCCGCGCGAGTGGGGCGATATGGCCAGGGGATGGCAGCGCGCAGCCTGCACAGTCGTCGACCACAGGGCCCTTGAGACGTTACTCCGTGACCTTGGTCCAGCGCTTTCACCACCACCCCGTCCGGCTCACAGATGCCGTTTTTTCGCGCGCTCCCCCTTCGGAGGCTGAGGTTGCCGTTGCCTGCGGCCTCCGGCATTGTCGGAGCGGGGAGCCGCTAGACGTTCTCGGCGACCACGGCTCACGCATGCCGCGAGGCCAGGGCGCGTGTCGCGACCGATGTCTTCCTCCCCGACTTCAACTTCGATGTTCTTTTCAGCGATAGGCGCCAGATCGAGGTCGTCGCAAATGGCCTGCCGGCTTTTGGCGGCGCCCAGGTCGCCGTTGATGTCACGCGTGGGTATCTCCCGTGCAACGGAACGGAGCTAGCCAGCCCGGCCTTTTGCCTTTGCCTTTGCCTTTGCCCCGTTCGAGTCAGGAGACTACGGTCCATGAAGGACACAGGGAACACACGAGGCAGTCATGTAGCTTGGCAAAACTGTACAAAAAAGATGCTCGTTGTCAAGCCATTGCCTTGACCGAGCTGCCACCATCCACGTCCTGCCTTGCAAATGTTCAAGTGCAAATGTCCTCAAATTATCGTCCCACCTTTTCGGCGGGCGGCCTAGTTTCCTTCTTGGCGCTCTCAGGAAATTATGGGTCCAACCATCACCTGGAATCCATGTAGCGACTGCCCATGGCCAAGCATCATCTCGACGAGATATCTTGGAA